TGCGCGTACTTCCAGCTGAGATGTGACAGCACAACATAAACTCGGTTCGCAGTTGGGACTTCGCTTATAACCCGCTCAAGAATGGGGATGAGTGGTTTAAGCCTGTAAAAAAATCTTAAATTTTTCCCATAAACTAAAATCCTTAGTTCCACAGTCCAAAGTATGAAGCCCAATATATCAAACTCGAACTAGTGCCACTCTTGCAATTGGTACATGCTACTAAGTAAAAAAAAAACACAAATCGAATCAACAAAATCTGTCACATCATACAAATGTTGAGTCATATTGATTCAATGACAGTTTTATATGGGTGTAAAACTTGGTCTCACTCAATTGGAAAGAGCACAGAAAGAGGGTTTAGAAAAAGAAATGCTGCTGAAAATATATCAACCTAAGAGAGACAGAGAAAGGAACATGAGGACAGAGAATCGCAGGGAGTACTCTTAACCAAATATATGATACAGGGTGATCAAATTAAAGAGAGTTGGGCGGACGGGACACGCCGCAAGCATGGATATAGCCCGGGGGGGTGGGGGGGGCGACTGAAGGATATGTGTGGTTCGTTCATCTTCTTGTAGGCACACAGGTTGGGTCATTGCTGTAACCGTTAATACACAAATGTAAAACTGTTACAATGTGGGCCTGTATTCTCACAATCTATCTGTACATTCTAGCGATTATTGTTCATCTGTCTGTGACCAGTTTCGATACAGAACTGACTGATGATTTTTTTCAATTGATCTAATCCTTCCGGCCGCACTATGGCCCTGGGGTCGACTCAGCCTCTAACAGAAATGAGTACCAGGAATATTCTTGGAGGTAAAGGGCGGCCGACGCGTAGGACTGACAACCTTACCGCCATCTATGGACCGACTGTCTATAGAATGTAGAAACCTCAACATCTCACAACCCTATGGGTCTCCACGGCCTGTTACAGGGATACCTTCACTTACTGACTAATGACTTTGTTCTCCTTTCGTGAAATTAGGGAGCAGGTCACATTTGGACGTTGTGGCAGGGGCAACAGAAGCCAATTCTCAAGGTCTCTCAACATCTGTGGTGAAGTACAAGGAATAATGGCGGAAAAGACAAACAAACAAGCAATATTAAAGTTACATGAAACAAGCAAACATTCAGTAACATTAACCTGTGTGGTTGTGAAGCATGGACACTGGTTTGACGAATGGAAAACATACACAGATTCGTAAAACGACTGCCCGGTTACATGTTATACAGTAAGGTTATCCCTGCTCTTAACTAATTAAACATTAAGGCGTATGGGGGAGTGGATGTATAGATCCACGTTTTCTTCACCTCGGCACTAGTTGGAGATGAGTGGTCAGCTTAACGCCCCAGCTGCTTTACCCCTGAGAAAGGGCACCCGTTAGCCATTGGATAGGAGGTTGGGTGGGCCCCAGAGCCGGTCTGGACGACGCGGAGAAGATAAAAATTCTTTACCCTACCGGGACTCAAATTCCGACCCCTCGGGCGTCCAGCCAGTAGCCAGTCGCTATACCGACTGAGCTACCCCGGCTCTTGGGTACGTGTTATAACCTGGCGAAAATAATTAGAAATTAATACAAGGTAGATTATTTGCAGTATAAGTATTAAAACACTCGTACAAATATAACCTCACAGAACGTATCGAAAGTTAAACAAGATATACAAATATATGTATTGTATTTTAAAGCTCGGTCTTCCACAGAATTTGGAGCAAAGTTCAAAACCGAGTACAAAGTGGAAAACAGTTACCACACTTATTGCGGATAAATTTATTTAAACCATCCGAGTAGTCTGGGATATGAAACAGGCGCACTGACGAACAAGCAACACTGCAGGTCAAGTATGCGTGGAGAGTTACCTCCAAACTGCCTGCCTACACGCCTTCCCTCCAGATATATGGTGGGACAACAGGTCTACATTAAATACGTCATGACCTCTTTCATCCACATGTTTTTCCAATGCATCATTCTTAATGGCACGTGGTAGGGGTGACTGTAGACGGGTTTGCATTTACTCCCCATTTACACACGACTCAAAACTATAAGTAATTACAGCGTCACTGCTAATCTCCACAATTCACAAATCACCACAGCATACGCTAAGCCTTTTCCAGCCTGCCAACCGCCGTTCCCTAGCAACGGATTCTAACAGTGGAGATTCTTCAGCTTCACGCGCTCATGTCCTCTTTTCACAGCCTCCCGTACAGAACTATCAACTACCTCTGTCCCTTACTTACAACACGGACCATGTAGGAACACCTTATTTCCATTGTTGCATAGCAATGGGAACGTGTTTACCGAGCCGTTGCTCAGAAACGATCGATGTTTACAGAGTAGTCACTTAGCAACGGGTCACAATAACTATCCTCCCATTCGAGGTTATGTAACCAAAGCAGCTGAGAGCGTTATTACAAAAATCAGAAATCTATTTATAGCAGTTACGCAAAGTAAATGTTTTCATGCCGAATGGTAGAGCGGGCATGAGGAGGACGGTCACGAAATTGCCAAGGCAGCGAGCGTGACCGAACCGAAAGATCGAAAGACAGAAAAATAAAGCAACCTGTCTGCGGTAACAGAAGAATTTAGGTGGGCCCCCTCCATTTCACCAGCGAGCAGCAAAAAGTCTTTGCGTTCCTGATCGCTGCTACAGTTTCCCATGGCGTTCTTACCTTCGCGACTTCTTCACCCGCAAAGAACTATAGTACTTGTGGCGGGGTGAGAATCCGTCCGTGTAGGTGAAAGTCGGCACGAAATGCAATTAGTCTCGAGTTTATTTATGCTTACAATAAATCATAATATTGTCACGTGTATGAGTGTGGCTCTCGACGGGGTTTTGCTTTGGATACTGGATTTATTGATCACTTAGAGGTAGCAACTACAAATAACTATAACGCTACAATTAATATGATGCTGGACACTATAACACTATAACAGTAACTATAACTATAACACTATCGCTATTTCTCTCACTTTACAAATCATTACAGCAAACGCTAAACCTTTTCAGTCTGTTGTCTCCACTAGCCGTTTCCTGGCAACAGATTTTATTATAGTATTTTTTATTGCTAGTGGGGTGGGACTAAGTCCCTTGTACTGCGGCCACTTCTGGCCTATTGTACCAGCCCCAGATGATAGATGAGGGTGATTGTGGAGCAATTGGTGGAATGAAGATTGGCAGGGGAAACCGAAGTACTCGGAGAAAACCTGCCCCAGCGCCACTTTTCCACCACAAATCCCACTTGACCAGATCCGGGTGGGAAGCCAGCGACTAACCGCTTGAGCTATGGAGCGGCCTCTTTTAACGTAGTAACTATGAGAGTCTCTCACTCAATTACACACGCCAAATAACACTGTCTTCACAGCCTGACGTTCAACTGGGCACTGACTTCGTTGTCAAAGTCAAAGTTACATTGTGACTGACGGTCAGTAAGTCAGTAAGTCTTAGTGTCGAGCCTCATCTGGGACTCATGACCAGATATTAACTATTACCGTTTGACAGCTACGGTCTCATTTTTGTGGGGAGCCCTCTCTGACGAGAGGACGGATCTGTCTTTTGCATATGCCGCTGGCCCTTGCCATTGCGGTCTTTCTCGGGTCCGAGTCCCTTGGGACTCGCGACCATATTTTACTGTCTCCGATTTGAGACTTCCCTTCTCGTCGCCTCATACGACTCGCAGGGTCACGGCGGCGGTATTCGACCCCGCCTCCACACGGGGGTCTGACTTCGTTACTCCGAACCCTGCCGATTATAACATCTCGGAACGGACCGCGTAGAAAACACAGTATCCAACAGTTCCTCGGCTGCTGCATGCGTATCCGTTGTGGCGAGAAAGTATTTACCGAGCCGTTCCCTAGCAGCGAATGTTGTTTCGTTGTTTGTTTGCGGTCGCTGTCTAGGAACGGGTCTATACGCCACAATAATAGTGATGATTGTACTGCTGCTGCTGATAATGATGAAAATGATGATGATGATGATGATGATAATATTGTAATGTATTCCAGTTGATTTGACTGTGGTCCCGATTTGACAGAGCGACTAACTCAAGACAGGCGGACGTTAGTTCCATAAAAGCAAAAAATTTCTTGAAATGCTAAACAACTATCAGATTTTCAAGGATGATGCTGCACAATGGAATCTGTAGTAAAGGTAAACATTCATACTTGATATTCCCTGTGTCTAAGCACCACTCCGTGAAAGTATATAAGAATGTGGAGGTAAATATCTATATATTTTAGACCACGAGAGATGTGGGTGAGTTGTCAGCTTCACGCTCAGGCCGCATTTCTTTTGGAGAAAGATCTTCCAGTGCATATTGGAACTGCTTTCCAAAAGTACCTCTACTGTTGCACGTCGATTTGTTGCTGCGGGAACGTGTTCACCGAGCCGTTGCCTAGAAACGGCTCTGGTATATTCGCCTATCTGGCGGTCATCGAATAGTAACGGCTCTAAACGCTACAATAAATAATGTTAATATACTTCTTATTTCGTTGTGTTGTTGACTTTCCTCTTTGGAAGGTTCCTACCGAAGAATTTCCATCCCTCGCCATTTTCAGCATCTTCCTGATTCAAGGTTCTCTCTCTCTCATTCGTTATGTAATATTCTGTAATATGAATAGCCGTTGCATGAAAAATGTAGGGCGTTGATAACGGCAGAAAAACAAACGATAATTGATACATATGAAACAGTATTATGATCCAAGATAGTGACCTTGAAATGACTCGGCATGAAACAAACATGAATACATGAGAAATAATTGAATTGTACTGTCCGAAACAAATAATTAAAAACAATAAGAGATAAATGCAGCGAGATTTCGAAATAAAAATAGCAACACAAGCTGATCAGACGAAGAAAGATGAATGATCAAGGTCTCCTTATTATCATAGCATTTGGCGAGATGTTTATAAATGTGTACAGACACGTTCTTAATCATAATAGCGTTGTCTATCATCTCAGCACGCCGACGACAACCACAGAAACAAAGATATTCACTCACCCTTTTTGTTTGCATGAGATGCCCTTGCTGATAAGGGCGCGACGCAGTTCACTTAGCACCTCCTCAGGATTGGTGCTGGAAGTTGTGGAGACATTACACAGACCCTGCAACAAGAGAACGGTGTAAGTGTACTCAGCTTAAACCAAAAATAAACAAAACGATGGCCATTTGAACGAAAAACTAAAAACATTTTATTTGGCATCTTAACTTGTTTTGATTCATAAATAATACTGGTTCTCCTTGAAATGTTGATTCGGTCCAATGCGAAATTTCTCCTGCATAGGATAACCATATAGAACATCAAATAATGCTAGCCGTTTAACGCCTCAAGCAGGAACAACAACAAAAAACGTGGTTTTAGTCCGCAAGCGAACTATACCGACCGAGCGACCGCCGCTTTTCGGCGAAGTTAGTGCAAATTTTAGCGGAGAGAGGGTGTCGCGTGGTCAGCGCAACGAATATCTTATTCTATAATGGCGGTAACCCCGCGATCTTTAATACAGATCTTAACTTAAATCTGAGAGTATACTGTACTGTACTCTCAGATTTAAGCTAAGATCCATATTAAGAATCTCTAGGTGACCGCTATTATAGAATATGATATTTATAAGAATGTGCTACAGAAGGCCGGATGGCCATTGCCTAGGTATATTTGTATTTACAATATTTTTTCTACAATAAAAAAATCCCCATGGTCGTTAATTTCGGTTTTATAGACAGCAGAAACAGGAACAAATATATTATTTAACAAACAATGATTAATTAAACATTTACTTATAACAATTTTATATCATTATATTCTGCCACGTAATGAGAATCAATTTATTTTAATTCCAAAACCGTCATCGTACCGGAAAGGGATAAACCTAACGTTCGAATGGGCCTGACAGACAACTTCTTTTCAGGTTTATTTATTTGAAAACGTGACAAATCCTCTGACGTGAGCCTATGCACTTTTTCTTGTGCGTTGAGAAGTTCTACGTTTGACTGGATATGCATTTCCGCCGATACTGAACTGGGCTCAACAGCCCTTCCTTACGAATGAAAGAGATGATTTTTGTAATTACGGTAACCTTCCTTCGCGTTTATATTCATCAGACAGAGGCAGATCGAGAAGCTGACGGCAAAACAGCAATTTACATCCTTATATTCACATAAAAATCCAACCTATATCGATATTAATTTCCATGCTTATGTCACAGAATTAAAGGTAAAAAAGCTAAAGCTCTCCCTGCAACACGTCGTGAAGACCCATAGGGTTGTGAGACGTCGAGGCTCTCATATTTTCTACACAATCGGATCGTGGATGGCGGTGAGGTCAGCCTTACGCGCCGGCCGCCCTTTACCCCCAAGGAAGATTCCTGGTACTCATTTCTGTTAGAGGCTGAGTTCACCCCAGGGCCATAGTGCGGCTGGAAGGTGTAGAGGCTCAAATTTGAGATGGGAGATTGTAAGGCATTACCCAAATGTTCGAGGCTTGCGAAAAGCGTTTCACAGTTATTACAGTAATCTGTCAACACCTGGACAGGCAAATAGGTTAAGAATGTTGATGATCAGCAAGTATGTGTAACCGCAGTAGCAAGAAGCTTGCCTCAATAGGCCACTGGAGTATCATAATATTACCGCATACACAGCGATGAGACGCCCGGGGTCCGCCCACAACCACCAATAATAATCAATTAGAATATTACTATGAGAACTGAGGACACTGAGGAGGAGTTACCTACCCTCTGTCGTCAACAGCTGAATTAGCAAATTAAAACTTTACGGAATTTCTGGGGACTTGGGATTATGATCTAACACAGAATATTCAGTTGTCAGCCGGAGGCACTAGTCGACATGTGTACCACAAGATGGTGGATGACGGCAGTGATCTACATGTGTCTTACAAGTAAGTCTCTTTGCTCATATACGCCATGCTGTTAGATGTTAGGTTGATAAAAGTGTTATTGTGTGATCTTAAGGCAGTCTCCAGTGTACCTTGTGAGAGCCAGGGTAGAATAGGGTAGAAATGAACGGAGAGTGGCAGACGATGATAGGAGTACAGTTTCAAGGCACCTCNTTGCGGTTGGAAGGATTACGTGAATTGAAAAATACAATTACATCATCGGGAATCGAACCCGCGACCTTCCGGCTTGTAGCATAGTGCCTCAGCCAACTACGCTACAGCGTGCCTTGCTGGATATGAATAACGCGGCGACTTATCTTACCTTGGTTCCGAGCACTGCGGGCCGATCGGCATGGGCAGCAAATCGACGCCGTGGCGTCAGCACATGCCGGACCCTGCTCAATCCTCGCTCGATGCTTCCAAGGACTTTGCGGGCAGAGAGCGGGGTTTCGTTCGGAGTTGTGGCACCTTCGGCCCTGAAAACAAGCAAACAAAACCATACATGAAGAAAGTCGTCTTCTGGGTTTTGGCGCCGTGTATTCTTCGTTTTGACCTACGTTTCGGAGGAACGTATCGCCTCCATCTTCAGAACAGGTGAATGGCTTGTGAATGCAGACATCACAGCTAGTGCTGTTCCTCCGAAACGTCGGTCAAAACGAAGAATACACGGAGCCAAAACCCAGAAGACGACTTTCTTCATAGTCATCGCCGTGAAAACCTCAAAACTTACAAAACCAGACATGTTGACAGAGAAAATCAAAGTGGAAATAGGCTTCACATTTAGAACGCATGAGATTATTAAAATTCTGTCACGTGTTAGAGCGTGACTATCGACGGGGTTTGGATTCTTGCGTCGATGTATTGGCCACTCACACACAAAACTCGGAACTAAAAAGAATTACAGCGCCGTCGCCAATCTCCAGACTTTACACAGCACCTGCTAAACTTTTCCTAGCCTGCTGTCTTCACTAGACGTTTCCTGGTACGGGCTTCTAACAAAAATTATTCCTCTGCTTCCGTGCTCAAGTCCCGTAAACAAATGACTGCAAACTATCAACTGACTTGGTTCCCCCAATTCTTTTCTTCATAACTTCATGGCACGGACCGCGTAGGCAACACAATGTTACCTCCGTTGCAGTGGGAACGTGTTTACCAAGCCGTTGTCCAGAAACCTGTCTGTATAACCGCCCATCTCACGATCGTTGCATAGCAACGGCTATACAGGCTTCATATTTGAAAAAAAAAAGGGGGGGGAGGAACCTAACATGTAGAACGACAATCTAAATCCTTATATTAGGGTCAAAGAATTAATGAGGGGTTGTAGCATACCCAAATATATTCGCAAAAGCTTCCTTCTGTGATCTAGTAGTCTGAGTTCCTGGCTACACATCCGGAGGTCGGGTTTCGATTCCCGGCGCTACCAGATTTTCTGAGAAGTANTCGCTCGATGCTTCCAAGGACTTTGCGGGCAGAGAGCGGGGTTTCGTTCGGAGTTGTGGCACCTTCGGCCCTGAAAACAAGCAAACAAAACCATACATGAAGAAAGTCGTCTTCTGGGTTTTGGCGCCGTGTATTCTTCGTTTTGACCTACGTTTCGGAGGAACGTATCGCCTCCATCTTCAGAACAGGTGAATGGCTTGTGAATGCAGACATCACAGCTAGTGCTGTTCCTCCGAAACGTCGGTCAAAACGAAGAATACACGGAGCCAAAACCCAGAAGACGACTTTCTTCATAGTCATCGCCGTGAAAACCTCAAAACTTACAAAACCAGACATGTTGACAGAGAAAATCAAAGTGGAAATAGGCTTCACATTTAGAACGCATGAGATTATTAAAATTCTGTCACGTGTTAGAGCGTGACTATCGACGGGGTTTGGATTCTTGCGTCGATGTATTGGCCACTCACACACAAAACTCGGAACTAAAAAGAATTACAGCGCCGTCGCCAATCTCCAGACTTTACACAGCACCTGCTAAACTTTTCCTAGCCTGCTGTCTTCACTAGACGTTTCCTGGTACGGGCTTCTAACAAAAATTATTCCTCTGCTTCCGTGCTCAAGTCCCGTAAACAAATGACTGCAAACTATCAACTGACTTGGTTCCCCCAATTCTTTTCTTCATAACTTCATGGCACGGACCGCGTAGGCAACACAATGTTACCTCCGTTGCAGTGGGAACGTGTTTACCAAGCCGTTGTCCAGAAACCTGTCTGTATAACCGCCCATCTCACGATCGTTGCATAGCAACGGCTATACAGGCTTCATATTTGAAAAAAAAAGGGGGGGGGGGAACCTAACATGTAGAACGACAATCTAAATCCTTATATTAGGGTCAAAGAATTAATGAGGGGTTGTAGCATACCCAAATATATTCGCAAAAGCTTCCTTCTGTGATCTAGTAGTCTGAGTTCCTGGCTACACATCCGGAGGTCGGGTTTCGATTCCCGGCGCTACCAGATTTTCTGAGAAGTAGTGGGTCTGGAACGGGGCCCACACATCCTCGTGAGAATAATTGAGGAGATATTTCAAAGAAATAGCGGCTCCGGTCTAGAAAACCGATATTAACGGCCGTGGGGATCCGTTGCGCTGACCACGCGACACCCTCTATCCGCTAAAGTTGGCACTAACTTCGCCGACAAGCGGCGGTCGCTCGGTCGGTATAGTTCGCTTGCGGACTACAGGCCACGGAGTTTTATGCGAACTCCATGCTGTCTATGTATCTATGCACCCTCCGTAGCAACTTCTGACTGAACAAATCTGCAAAAAAAATTGGTATGTACATCATGGCAGCACCTCCCATGAGTCTCTGTCTCTGTGTGTACACCAATATCGTTGCTAGGCAACGACTCTGTAAAAATCATCATATCGTCGGTAAGCCTCGACACAGTAAAAACGTTACCGCGGCAACAAGCACAATGCAACAATAGAATTGTTGGACGCGTCGTTGTCATTGCGGTCTGTGTTGTATCAAGGAAGGTAAGCGATCAGTTCTTCTCAGAACTTCTTGTTAACAATGCTGTATCAACTGCAATTGTTATACAGCCTTCGATGAGAGAGAAAGAAAGAAAGAAAGAAAGAAAGAAGACAATGGGTGATGAGTGTGTGCGGATGGAGGCTGTACTATCCCAGAATTCGTCCGGAGAGACTAAGTAAAACATGAAAATCACGGGATCGCCAATAGCCTGATCGATGCTATAATCGGACGCGTCACGAACGCAAGTCAAAAGCTTTACCGCCATAGAAACCAGCTCGGTGTAAAGTAGAGAAACCTGCAAACATGGTAGTTTATTAATTCTCAGGTTTCCTTGTATGGTTACCAGGGGGTTACCCCCTCTACACCAATGACAAATTCCCCACACAGAGGCCAGAATAATAACTGTCCTCTCTACATTTGCATCACACACGCGGCACTAAGTATCTCTCTGCTTTTACATGTACAGGAGAATTTTTTGTGTTCCTGATGTGATCCACCCTTCCTACGGCAGATTCAAGAGAAAAATTTGCATATAGAGTGGATACATTAGTATATATACAACGAAAAGAGCAATTTGACATAATGTCGGAAGGGGGTAGGAAATAGCAGAGCGGCCTCATCATTACCGCATCCCCCTCTACAGCTTTCGTTCATTCAAAAACCACAGCTATGCTGTAAGGGGTACACATTTTAATTGAAATACAGTGGCATAATCACCTTGATTTTAAGAATTTGCACATATCTCGGTCATAAATCTCAGGAAACAACATTCTATTTAACTCTTGTACACGCAACAATAGAAGAACTGATGAATGCGGTGTTTTCTGTGTGGTCCGTTTTGTATAAAATACGCAATACGTATTGCAAGGGAAGTATGTGGTTAAGTTATTCCCAGAATGTATTGTTTAATTCTCTAAAAAGTAACCATTAAAAGAGGTAAAATGTAAAGCTACCCTTGTAACAGGCCGTCAAGGCCCATAGGGTTGTGAGACGTCGAGGCTCTCATATTTTTTTGACAATCTGCTCACAGATGGCGGTGAGGACGTCAGCCTTACGCGCCGGCCACACTTTACCCTCGGGAGGAATTTTGGTACTCATTTCTGTTGGGGGGGGGGACGCGGTAGCGTAGTTGGGGGAGGCACTATGCTACAAGCCGGAAGGTCGCGGGTTCAAGTCCCGATGAGGTCATTGGATTTTTTTCAATTTACCTAATCCTTCCAGCCGCATTATGACCCTGAGGTCGACTCAGCCTCTAACAGAAATGAGTACTAGGAATATTCTTGGGGGTAAAGGACGGGCGGCTCGTAAGGCTGACAACCTTACCGCCATCTATGAGCCGTATGTCTAGAAAATGTGGGAACCTCAACATCTCACAAACTTATGGGCCTCCACGGCCTGTTACAGGGATAGCCTTACTTTACTTTTACTCATTTCTGCTAGAGGCTGAGTCGACCCCAGGGCCATAGTGCCTCAGCCAACTACACTAACATTGTCCGAAACCCCTGCATGTACATGGGCAATAACATTTCACTTTATTGCCAAGAGAAGCCGAACAGAGCGAGGCCAAAAACACAGTCGTTAGGTGGAATACAGACGTCATGAGTGGGGGAGCAGACATTACTGACCAGGGTGCGTTATACGAAACATGACAGCCTGCAAAAGTTAAGGACGGTTGAGACGGTATATGGTATCTTGACACAATCATCCACTACACGCCATAACATCGTACCGAACAGTATTTTCAGTAGCATTACTTACTTACTTACTCCTGGAGCTGAGCTCTTCTTGAGGTGCCGCCAATTCTGCAGCCACTCAAGAATTTCCCAGCATTTTATGGAACCCAAAGATTCATTACCGTGTTCACAAGAGCTCTCCACTGGTTCACATCCTGAGCCAGATCAATCCAACCCATATCATTCCATCCTATCTCTCTAAGATCACTTTTAATATTGTTCACCCACCTACGTCTTGATCTTCCCAGTAGTCTCTTTCCTTCTGACTTTCCCACCAATATCTTATATGCACTCCTCTTCTCATCCATTCGTGCTACACGTCCTGCCCACCTCATGCTCCTTGACTTGAACATTCTAATTACAATTGGAGAAGAGTACAAGTTATGAAGCTCCTCATTATGCAGTTTTCAGTAGCAGCTGTACTTAATACAGCGTCGCTAAATAAGAGCAGCCGGATCTTGTGGGAACGAGATATAGGAATCCCGAAGGTTCCAACGTCTCTATTTCCCTGCATATCCTAAGTCAAATTTGCCTACTGTAATATTTCATGCTCACTGTAGCAGGTGCCAAGGCTTTTCCAAAATGCCTTGTTGACGTAACAAAATTTACTTTAGTTAGCTTTTGAGTAGAACTGTGGCAGAAACGTAACATTTGGAAGGTGTTTACGAATTACGTTGTGTAGTGGTCTGAGTTCCTGGTTACAGATCCAGAGGTACCTGGTTCGATTCCCGGCGCTATAATATTTTCTGAGAAGTAGTGGTTCTGGAACGGGGTCCACGCAGCCTCGTGAGGATAACTGAAGAAAGGAAATAGCGGCTCCGGTCTAGAAAACCGAGATTGACGGGTGTGAGGATCCATTGCGCTGACCACGTAACACCCTCCATCCACCAAAGTTGGCACTAACTTCGCCGACAACCGCCGGTGGCTCGATCGGTATAGTTCGCTTGTGGACTAAAACCATGGAATTCCTTCACGAGTTATGGTCTTTGGCGTGTACTGTTTAGGTGTAAGTAGGGAGAACGTCTTTCAATTTTAGTTGCTTTGGGTTACGTACAACTAACGAAAAGAAACTAATAAATTAAACGAAAATTCCTTGCATAATGTCTTTATTAAAGCGAATTCTGAATGCGGAATTCTTCAATAGAAGTGGACAGGCGAGTGTGTCTATGAATAGGAAAGCTTCGTGTTCAATTCGTAGTGAAAGTAAGACTCTTTTGAAAGAATATGACGCTGACAGATGTCACAATTCTAAGCATATAAAAAGGTACAAAAACTGTGTCTGTGATCCGAGAAGAGAAAAAGTAGGGGCAGTTCTAAAAATAGAGCCTGAGTCATAACAGAATGTCCTCAGAAAACAATCCAGTGATAATTCGTCAGCACTGAGGACAAGCTGTTGTTAGTCACTCGCTGGATAAAGAAAGCTAAGCTTTTTCCGATGTGGAATTCGTAAGAACATTCTTGCAACATACAGTGCACGAGACTTGATCGGAGAAAAAGAAACGGTTGTAAGTCTGTCACTTGAAACAATGACGCCGAAAAATTGAAGATACTAGTAGTGGCTTACCTAATCAACTCAGAACTAAAGCAAAACAATTCTGAAATCATTCATCGCTGGGTGAGACTGACACAAGCGAACCTCATTCATAAGTGTATCCCTTGAGGTAGTCGAAAAACATGGCGCAACAAAGGAAGATTTCAAAATGACCGCTTTGCAAGGGGTTAATATCAAAATTCTGCACACACTTCTTAACTGCCAAGAGTTTCATGTCCATATCACTGCAAAACTCCGTGGCCTGTAGTCTG